CACACACACACACACACAGACACACAGACACACAGACAGAAGCAGAGAGAGAAAAGAAAAGCAGCGGTGCAGATCTCTGCAGCTGGCTGATTGGCCAAAGGGCTTCACTTTGAAGATGTCCCAGAGAGGGAGGGAGAGAGGGAGGGAGACAGTGGGGGTGAGAGAGAGTGAAAGGATGGCGGAGAGAACGGGGGAGGAAAAAACAGCGAGCGAGAGAGACGGCGAAAGAGGAAGTTATGCTCAAGGGCTCCTGTCCTCCCCAGAGAAAGACAGATCGTCTTCAGCCTTGTCTCTGCCGTCTTTCCTTCTCACTGCACCTTCTGCATTAAATGCTTCCACATGCAGTGAGATCCTCATTCCAGTGTCGGCCTCTGCTCGCCGGCTACCAGAGGAGTTTCAAACGAAATGTAGTTTTAGGGATTTTAGTTGTTAGCCGAGAGGCACTGTGGAAACCCGTGAGTAGGTTTATGATCATCCGACACAGAAACTTGTCTGTGTTTAAGTTAAGCCGGGCATTTTCCTGAAATCTTCCAGAGGGGATGTTTGTGTAAATGCAAACGTCCGAGTCGTAAATGAGGCCCCTCGTGTTTCCTCCCTTCACATCTCCCTCTTTCTTGCTCCTCTTGAAATTGTCTTTTCCCCCTCTTTTCAACTCGTTTTCCTCTCCTCCATCCCTCCCTCTCCACCTTGCCTTCCTCTGCTTTCCAGATTAACCCCCTCTCCATCCACTTCGCCTCTGTCCCCTGCTTTCTCTTCCTCCTCGTTGTCGCCTCCCTCCTCTTCCTGTCTGACGCTCCTTGTTTTTCCTTCTCCTGTCTCGCACTTCCCAGTCAGATCAAAGTAAGTAAAGTAGGCCAGTGGCGGTGGTGGGCGTTTAAGGGCTAAAGGTGTGTTTGTGTACATGCATCTTTATGTTTGAGCGTTGTTGGGGAATTAATGTTGCTTATCATTAACTGTGTGTGGGTGGAGGATGTGAGTGTGAACAGAAGTGTTCAATATTTCTATCAATAGACACTTACTCCAGGACTTCCAGGGTAATTGCAGGGACTTAACACATATTTAGTCGCCAGTATTTGCTCGGTTTGTTATGAAACGGAAGAAATTATTTGACTTAGTGAAACGGCTTTAAATTAATCATGAATCCCGCCGCAGTTTTGGAGTATATTCAATATTCAATATTTGGTCTTTTGTCACGCTCTCTGTGCAAAGCCTGATTCCAGGAAAATTCATTAAAAGAAACCGCGGCATTGGCAAGTGAGTGGAATCCACAGTAAAGAGAGACATTTAGAAACACCAGCACACACAGTGATAATATTTAACTTTAACTCAAGGGAGTAAAGTGAAAAGACGAAGGTCATCCTGGTAAAACCAAGCACGCTGACTCTACGTTCTTTCTGACTTTTCTTTGAGTTTTCTCTTAAAGCTATTTACGCAGTTTGGTATTTTCAGAGACTGAAGCTTTGGAAATGGCAGCCATCGTGATCGAGAAGCAAAGAAACAAATTACACCAGGTGATAAAACTCCACCCACCTCATGACTCAATTCTCAGATCTCGACGTAATGTTTTCAGCTTTGGCAAAATACGAGCAGATCAACACAAAGACGTGCACAGACCCACCATTTTCTTGGAAGTCGATCCTGACTTTGTTCGACTCGGCACTCGTGGCTCTGGTCCAAGTTTGTCCCGGCTGCTGTTTCGTCCACGCCGTGATGTCGCACCAGTAGAAACCTCGGTCTGACAGCTGGACACCAGCGAGGCGAAAGCGAAACTCTGCCGGGCCGGACTTCGTCAGAACTAAACTGTCCCTGAGCGGACAGAAGAGAGATGTAAGCAGACACCAGTACATCATTAACATGTCAATGTATAGATTTTTGTAGGTGTATACCTCCTGTTGGGGTCTGTGGCTCCTCCGTGCTGCACCACATTATCGGGGCTGAGAGTCATGATAGTTCTCACGTTGCTCTCCAGGCTCTCCTGCGATTGGATGAGCACCGAGTAGCCGGCCTCCCCGAGGTTCTCAGTGGTGACGGTGCAGCTCATATCGAAGGTAGCCCCTCCCACCGAGGCTTCACGGACCCGTTTGGCCACGACGTACAGAGACGGACCTGAAAACACCACCGAGCCGTCGATTAATCGGCAAAAAGGTCTTTGACAAGGACATGATTCATCCCGCTGCGGTGTCAGGAGGTGAGGAAATCCCCGACAGAGGCCGACAGGAAGTGATAGGCAATTACACTGATTCAAAACAGGCCCACATACATGGAGAAAGTTACATCATGGCTCAATTAACCGAGGGCAGCAAGTTCAGTGTGTGAGACTGAAATAGAGACATGTTTGTGCGAGTGTTGTGAAAAAGACAACGAGAGGTCTGTTGTTATGTGGAGGGATTTTTCCTGTGAAGTCTGGAAACCATATCTAGACATTAGAGCTTATTCATAAAACGTAACAGCAGGGTTACTCTGACTGGTTGGAGTTTTTTTTAATCAAGTATGTGAGTTAATGCTTAATTCCTTTTTTTTTTAATCTCTCTCACAAGTGACTCGTTAAATCGCAGAATACGACCTTGTATGTTATGTGCAGAGATAAGGAACAATTATGGAGAAACAAAAGTAAATGTTGATTCCCCAGTAGAGCAGAAGAATTTTGGCACATGTCTCAGATCTGCATGTTGAAACTCACACATGCATTAATAAAACTAGAGCCTGAATGGTTTGCTGTCATGTTTAGTAGAAATCCTGGAGGAGTAATGAATCAATCGACCGTGCATTTCTGATTTACGTCTGTATTCGGTTTTTGTTCTTCCTTACTTTTGGTATCCCATCGAACATTCACAGGCGAGCTCTTGTGCTCCGTGATCTTCACCATATCACCCTGGCTGTCGGCTCTCCAGGCAGACACGGTGCAAGAATACTGGCCCATGTCGATATCCTGCGAACCAAAAGTGAAAACTAGTCAGGGAACAAAAAGTTGCTAAAAAGCTCTCATATAAAGATAAGTCAGCAACATATTCTTAATTAAGCGCAGTAAAGCTAAGAAGCATCTTTCACATTATACATAATTATTTGATCCATATGTGCT